GTGGAGAAAGCCCTACGGAGGAACCCTTAGGTTTTTGGGGCATTGGATTATCACCAATGTTTGCATTACTCAAGCCAATATTCTCGCTTCTGCTTCATCCACACCTGCTTGCGCAGGTGATTCCCCTAAGGAGGAGTGCTCCCTTGCCGATGCATTTTCACATCCCACGGCGGATTCTCACCAATGTTTGCATTATTCAAGCCAACATTCTCGCTTCTACTTCATCCACACCTGCTTGCGCGGGTGATTCCCCTAAGGAGGAGTGCTCCCTTGCCGATGCATTTTCACATCCCACGGCTTTGATAGATCGCTTAGCCCCATTTATCTTCAACGCAAGAGCGTTTGATCAGTGAGTTTTTACGCACTCTTTCAACTTTAAGCCAAACCTCTTGGTTGTCTCTATACCCCTACTTTCTTTATCACTGAACAGTCATTTAGGGGCCTTTTTGGTGATACGGGTTATTTCCCTCTCGATGATGAAGCTTATCCCCCATCATCTCACTGGCCTACTGCGAACATTATTTAGGGTCATATCTAGTATTAAGAGTTTGTCTTGATTTGGTACAGCTCTTGCGACCCACATCGAAATAGTGTTTTACCCCTAGATGTCCACTCAACTATTGTCCTCAATGCATTTCGGGGAGAACCAAGTAGCTCTGGGTTGGAGTGGCATTTTACCCCTAACCACAGCTCATCGGTTGATTCTTCAACATCAATCAGTTCGGACCTCCACTTAGTTTCACTCAAGCTTCATCATGGTCATAAATAGATCACCTAGGTTCGGGTCCATAAGCAGTGGCAATCGCCTTATTGAATAGGCTCCCCCCACTGGTTAAGAGCTCACGGTTTCATGTTCTATTTCACTCCCTGATAGGGGTTCTTTTCACCTTTTCCTTATGATACTATTTCGTTATCAGTCACCCCAGAGTATTTAGCCTTGCAAGTTAGTCCTTGCTGATTCACATGGGATTCCACAAGCCCCATGCTATTTGGGTCAGAGTGTAAGCTTATGATACTATTTCGTTATCAATCACCCCAGAGTATTTAAACTTGCAAGTTAGTCCTTGCTGATTCACATGAGATTTCACAAGCCCCATGCTATTTGGGTCAGAGTGTAAGCTCGTGATGGGTTCAGATATTGCTCTCCCACAATCCCATTTTCAGAGTTTAGATTGCTCCCATTTTGCTCGTCGCTACTACGAAAATTGTTTTGGCTTTCATTTCCTCTAGCTACTAAGATGTTTCACTTCGTCAGATTGTCTCTTTGTTTTCAGAGTTTAGATTGCTCCCATTTTGCTCTTCGCTACTACGAAAATTGCTTTTGCTTTCATTTCCTCTGGCTACTAAGATGTTTCACTTCGTCAGATTGTCTCTTGCTTGCGCATGGATTTAGCAGCAGTTCAAAATGTTGACCTATTCGAGAATCTCAGAATCTATATTTATTTTCAACTCCACAAAGCATTTCGTCGCTTGCTACGCCCTTACTCATCTCTGCGTGCTTAAGTATCCACCATCAGTCTTTCCTCTTTTGAACCTCACCATTCGAGTGAAGGCTATGCCACCCTAAGATGCTGCTAAATGGAATGATTGAAGTTCATAAAAATACAAAAACTTTGCATTTCAGAATCTGATTCTATTTGACTTTAATAATTTGTGAATCAATCCACCAAATAAAGTAATTGCACACCCCTATGCTTGCGTGGTAATTTGATGATTACTAGCTCATGCACTATACTTATTCAGTAATAATCTTTATTTGTGTTTAACCTTGATAAACTCACACTTGCCATTGTTTATTTTATAATCAGCATAATTCTTGTTGTGTTGACGTTATCAAAGGAGGGGAATATGTGTAATTTGCTTCTCTTAAAGGGCTATTTTCTATCTTGTTATTGTATAAACCTGTATATTATGAATTTTATTTTGTTATTTTGGAGGCTTGGAGTCTGTTTAAAGCCCCCTAACCCTGATAGTTTCATTGATAAATGTACTAAAATTTGAAATTTTGAAGAAGGCAGGGGGGGATGTTCCTTGTTTCTTGGCGAGGTGCAAAGGGAAGGATGTTGAAGTGACTGTATCATAACCGGCCTTTGAGATTCAGGAGGGTTATCCAGATGGCTAATGGTAGGAGGAGAGCAGTTTTTGACCTACTTTTGGATCCTTGCAGCAATATGGCAACACGAGATCCACTTAAGAGCCATGTGAGCAAGTTGAAATGCCAACGGTTCTTCTTCTGGCCTTCTTGCAACCCATTGGTAGGACAAGGGAGCAATTAGAAGCAGGTGACTAGGCTTCTTGCATTCTCGGTTTGCTGCAAATAAAAAATTCTAGCTCCTGTGAGGAGTCTTCCTTGGTTGTTAGCGGGTTCTTAGACTATAGTTCAAGCTCAAGCTACATGAGACATTTGGCAGGGGACACAGGAGGACAACAGTTATTCCAGGATAGTAAATTATTCATCCAAGAGGAATCCAAATAAGAAAGAATCAAGCAATTAATTCCAGATGTAGAGAACATCCCACCGAAAAAAAACAATTTTTGATGCTTTATTCATCTTACAAGTTTTCTTACAATCTTTATTCCCGATCCTCTCTTGTTGTTATGTGTGGACGATTGTGTTGTATTGCATTGGCGTTTCAGCTTTTGTAATAGTGCTAATATATCTATATAGAGCTTTCTGGTTATAACGCGCTTACTATATCTTATATTCAACATGAAAGCACACTCTTATAAGTTGAGATAAAACGTCTACATGAGCTTGTGCTGAGAACCATTTATTTAAGTGCTTATTGCCTATTCACTCACATTAGCATAACCAAACATATCCATTCACATTGTGAGCTTTTATGGTTACACATTTAAATTGCATTGGTTCATTATAAGATTATGTGCTGTTTTTTTTATGTGAGACTATATGCAATGTGCTTATGGTTTATTCTCGTGTTAGCATCAATAATCGCATAAACATCTCATTTATCGATACTTATATGTTCGTATGTATTTGCTTAGGCCAGATTATTTAATTACTTCAGCATTCTTGATTGTAAGCAATTAGAGTTTGAAAGAAACCTAAAATAAAGTGATTAATGAAACTATTACATGAGTAAGCAGGTGCACGCACGTGCCGAATCACATTCATTATTGCATGGCATAGACAGTGCAAAGCAATTGTTCAGTAAAAAATATTTCGTTTTCAGAAAATAAAAGGAAGAACAACCAATAATTTCCATATTCCAAGTACAACAGTATCCGTTTGTATCAATAATTTTTTCAATCAAATGCATCGCAAGAAAAAATGACAGACTAGATGGAAAAAGTAAATTTGGCTATACAAACGCATACGTAGCAATATGCTAAATAATGAATTTTCTTGCCGGACAAGGAAAATAGTTTGTGAAAGCAAAAGACCACAGTCACCAGATATATCTGTAATAACAAAGGCAAATTTTATGAACCTGAATGGAATCTGGACAAGCATATGTTCGAGTATTCTTCCAGTGGTCAGCACCAATAAGACAGAGCCTTGCACTGTCAGAGTATGGCTCGAAGTTTACTTCTGCAAGCAAGTAGCAGGCATGTGCAGCAGTTACCTATATCAAAGATAAAATATTATGTAGAGACTATAGTGACAAATTAAAACAGCCAGCAAACCACAGTAAAAATACAGACCTCTCCTCTCTCCTTCCATAGGCTATCTCCAAGGTGAATAATGACAAGTTCATCATCCTTTGTTCTGTTTGAAGCAATTATTGCAAGATTCACTTGCCAGTCATCTAATAGGCCATTCGGTTGAACCTGACCAGTCAAATTGCCAAATGAGAAAATAATAGTGAAGTCCCTTGGTCCATGTGAATGCTAAATCAAGTTACTAAAAGAGATGCACCAAAACAGCCTACAACGCCAATAAAGAAAGGAAAAATCCAGTCTACACTATATTAAATTAGCGTCAGACATGCAGAATCACAACGAGGTAAAGCAGTTGTCAGTATATTCTGTAAGTGTATTCAAGTTCACTACTTACCTCAGAACATTGGTATGATCTATTAACAGCACCAGATGAGCCACTGGTGGAGCTATCTGCAGAGAAAACATCTGCAGGTTGCCCAGCAATAAGAAGGAATAAGGTTCTTAGTGGTGAACCAAATACAAACTGCTGAAGTGCCATTTGCTTCACAGTGTCAGCATAGAACTGCATTCATTAAACTATTTTCTTTACTTGAAAAGAGAAAACATCCATAGACGCCAATAAAATCATCATGATATTATGCCAAATGGCACAAAAAAAAAAAAACAGTAAAACAACAGTGCCGACCTGCTCACCAAGCTGTGCTGCAAGAACAACAGCAGTGCCCCACAATTCACCCTCTTGCGCACAATGGAGTGCCTCTTTTCTTCTTCCAGAAACCAAAAGATTTTGTACCTCAGTAACAGTAGCCTAAAACGAATAAAAAATATAAGATTTCAAAATCAATAATAGAAATCCTTCTAGCAAAGCAAAGTTTATGAGAAAAACTAATACCCTTATATTTGCTTCAGGGGGTGGATTTGTCATGCAATGTCTGGAAGAACCACCGCCAACAGGAGCATTGCTTCTTTTAGCAGAAGCAAACAACATTGAAACTGCCGACTCTGGGCCATCACTTCCCTAAGCACAGTAAGAGAGCCCAACTCAAATTAACACTTCACATATACTTAAATAGTTTCAGAAAATTTGAAGTAAATTTTGATATATGTGCAGATACTACAATAAAAATCATTAAATTAGCTTCTCATAGGAAATAAGAATTAGTATCTAATTTATTCATGCTCAATTAAAACAATGACAAAAAAGAAAAAAAAATAACATAAGATAATAGCAAATCACTTCTATACCAAATAAAAGGATCGCTAACTTCCAGGATCATTATCATAGGCATCAGCCTAATTCCAATTATTTTTGGTTGGTGTTATGAATCCTCAATTTCACTTGCTCTTGTTAAATGTTATCTGAGGTGTACACATTCTCCATAAATTATATACATATAATCATTTGTGTAACTATTTTTCATCTTAATCCTCTGACACTAACATTTTCAACTCCTCAAATGGGCCTATTTTATAAACATTCCTTGCACATGTCAAATCAAAAATTTATTTTCATTCATCTTATGTTCAATAAATGTCACTCCAACTTTACCTCTGATTTAGTTATTCATTAATTTATCCTTCTTAATTTTATCACATCCATCTCAACATTCTCATTTCTAACACATTCATCATAGATATCAATGATTTTATAACCCAATTTTTAGATCCATACAAGATCGCCAACCTAATTGTTATTCTATTAATTTACTGTTAAGCCTCCATGATATCCACTTATCACACAATTCTTGAGGCATTTCTCCATTTTAACATCCAACCCTAAATATATAAGGTATATTCTCATATCTCTATTATCTATATAATATAAGAAAGATACTTAAACATATCACGCCTTAAAATTACATTAGCTTCAAATAATATTAACGATATTTCTTAACATCATAGCATTAAAATTAAATATCATACGTTCAATCTTTGTTCTTCTAATTCTAAACACTCTATTTTCTAAACATTTACCTATTACTATAAAATTTTTACTTGTTTCAATGAGTTATCTTACAAATTAAAATTATAATATTTTCATAAAACAAACACTAAGATGCCTCCCTTTGAATATCCTTTATAGATATCCGCATAACCAATATAAAAATATATGAACTAAATGTTAGAAATTGATATGAATCTATAATAATTTTGAAACACTTACATCACTTCACCACTGATAGTAGTTAGTACTTTCTCATATATATATATATATATCTTTAATAATGCATCACAACCAAATTTCTATCTAAAAGCATGCCAAACCAATTCTCATCGTATACCTTCACAAGATCAATCAAAAACACAAGAAATTTCTTTATTTGTGTTCTTTACATTGTTACTAATTAACTTATCACTTTTATAGCAATTTTTTTTGAGATTAGATCAAATAGATTCTCTAAAATTGATCATAGCTTTCTAAGATTATAATACATTACTTGCTCCCCTAGCTTCATTTTATGACTCATAAACTTAATTCCTCTATGGCAATCATAATCTTGGCCATAAATTTGTTCTTTTGATGCCAAAATACTCTTCTTTAATTATTTAGAATTCTTAGACTTCAAATTTTTATTAGTTAATCAAATCACTGCAATATCTCTAATAACTCTCAAATCTTAATAAAAATGAAATCCGGAACTAAAGACTTGCCTTCATGAATCAAGTATAGAGGCAATACTATTCCTTTTTTAGAATACATAATATACTTAATTATAAAATTTGTTATGCCCTTCCAAGGTAATTTCTTCCTTAAATATCTCATTTACCTAAAGACTTGCCTTCATGAATCTAGTATAGAGGCAATACTATTCCTTTTTTAGAATCCATAACATACTTAATTATAAAATTTGTTATGCTCTTCCAAGGTAATTTCTTCCTTAAATATCTCATTTAGGAAAAAGAATCAATTTATTTCTCAAAGTTACTTCCTTGGTATCTTCATATTTAACTACTATATCATTATCTTCACACTAAATACATCTAATTTACTTAAAACCCTTAGATCCTATATCTCTTAAATCATCCAGACACACAAACAGTGGTTATTTTTGTTATATGCAAAATTGTTGGCCATACTAATAATTAAGCATTTCAACTCATCACCACTTAAAGGTAATAGCATGTTGCCTCCCAACAATTAAGAAAATTTTATGATAAAGGCCACAAACAATTAATACCACAAAATTTAAATTCAAGGTAAACCTTTACAAATGGAAATGACTGAAGTTCCAAAAGCTAAGAAAAGCATCAAGATTAAAGTTAAAACAAAGAAATACAAAGTTGTGCATACCCAGCAAGCATAAAGACCCGTAAATAATTACAAAGAGGTAAATATCCTTGAAGTATACAATCACAAAGAAGAAAATCAATCACCAGCTTGATTTAACTTGACTGATATGACCTAGAAACTCACAGCTAAATCAAACAAAAGTTATGATGAACAGTATTTACTATCATTAGCGTAAAGCTTTCTTGCATGAAAAAAATAAATACACACTATATATATATGTACTCATATAGAAAAGCGCACATACATAAATCAACAAACTCATATATAGAACCAGTTGTACCCTATTCAAGTAAAAACAAAAACCAAAATGGTAAAAAAAAAAAAAAAAAGACATTTTCCCATTTCATGTTTACAAATGATTTTTAGCCTAGAATTCTCCGAATGAGATAACTAAAGCAACATTATTCCTTCCAACAAAACTACCCCAAGCTAGATTCAAATGATTTTTCATGACCATTAAATTGTTGATCAAAGCTATCAAAAGTTTCCAAATGAAGAGACTAAGGCTATGTGATTTAAACGAATTGGAGGGAATGCAATATCATTTCAATTCATAATTTTATTTATGATTTATTGGATCCTAATTGTTTGTGGATCACACCAAAACCTTACTAGCAAAAAAAGGATAAAAAGAATAAAAGAGAGAGGATTTAAAGTAAGAAGCTCTAAAATTACGAAAGAATAGGTTTGAGAATAGAAAATCCCCTAGAATTAAATGAAATTACGTAAGATGGCATAACTAGGTTCTTCCAATCACCCATTATTTATAGGTTTGGTTCAGGGTTTGAGCGCTATGGGAAAAACATGTTGAATTACATAAAATATATAGCGAGATCTAATGATTACTAGAAGCAAAATATATAAGGCATTTAGCCTAATAAAGCATTCGGACTAATAGCTAACTTAATGAAAAGAAGAGATTGATCCCCTTGAAAAAGTAACTAACCAATTCCTGCAGTTGGGTGACTCTATGTTATCCATTCAAAGAGTTCATTGTGAGTTCAACCAGTTTATCATGAGTCTGGTAGGTTTACCATAAATCTGCAAGTTTTCTATGAGTTCAGTTGGCGAGTTCACTATAAGTTTGGCTGTCAAGATTGGATTCATAGAGGTCTAGACTACTGATTGAACTGATACAAAATAGGCGAGTTCATGCCCTCAAAATTTAAGAATATTTACATGCACATTTAATATTGGATTCATAGAGGTCTAGACTACTGATTGAAGGTCTAGACTACTGATTGAACTCATACAAAATAAGCGAGTTCATGACCTCAAAATTTAAGAATATTTACATGCACATTTAATTCTCTGCTTATCTTGTATTTTTGAAAAAAAAAATTGTTAAAAAACAAAAGAATAATAACCAAACAATATATATTTCTTATTAAATAGCAATATCATTATTTTTGCACTTCTCTGTGGAGAAAATTTTCACTTTACTGATTTTGTGGCTCACTCTATATGCGATAAGTGAGTTAGCATAATATTTTTGTTTTCGTAAGCATATATTTGAAAGAAATATTAGTGACATGTATTTAAAATTCAGTCAACATTGATGTTTGTGTAGACTTTGACATTAATTTCATTTTCGTCCAAGGCAGCAAGATCAATGACCTATAAATATAAATGCCCAGCTTCAATTTAAGGATGTCAGTCTAGTTATATTTTCCTGTTCTTCTTTGTGCTTTGCAACTCCATCTTCAAAATGATTATTCTTAGAGACAAGATAAAATATCAAAGCATGCTATAGTTGTTAATATCTTAAAGAGAAGTTAAGAGAGAAAAAGGTGATAGTTCAATAGAGAGAAAATTAAAGAAAGTAAATCTTGAGCTAGTTGGGGATAATAAGAAAAAAGATCAGGTTCTGACTTCATCAACAACTTGTCCTATTGAATATGTAGATGTTCTTCCTCCTCAACCGACTGAAAAGTCTTCAAAATTAGTTGATGTATTAAATCTCACTAATGATACGCTTGCTCGGGCAACTAGAGGAATTCATTAAATTATTTAAGCTATTCTTCAATACAAATTAGTCATATATTTCTTGAAGTAGCTCTTAGACATTAATTTCATTTTTGTCCATGCCAGCAAGTTCAATGGCCAATGTTCAATACTAATTAGTCATATTTCTTGTAGTAGCTCCAGCAATTTCAATTAGTCTGGTAGATTAACTTGCTTTGGCAACTAAGGAGCTTGTTGGCCAGAAAATTGTGGTTAAAGATAAGGCTATCTTATCTTCTACTGAAAAAGATATTGAGTCGGAGGATTTCTCCTTAAAATTTCACAGTAACATTGAAGTGTATTATACGATGAGCAAACTTCTAGGGGAGGACCAGGGCAAGTTGGGAGCTAGAGCAAATATACAACAGCTTCTGTAAGTACATCTCAGAAAACTAATTGGGTTAATTCTTTATCACAACATTTTGAGGAACTTACACCTTATTTATCAAGAAAAATCTCTTCTAGTATCATCCCTTGGAGAGCCAAATGTACCAATTGTTAAGAGAGATTTTTTCCTTCAAAGCCACCACCAGAAAATAGCTAAAATCATCATAGAAATAGCCCTTGTCATTTCTCGGATATGAAAGGTCATGAGGCAGTAAAGAAACCAGCTAAGTCTCTACCAATACCGAAAAAAACTCCTGTGTCAGTCATTAGAGAAAGTTCATATAATGCTCACAACTCTACCTCAAACTCGCCAAGGAGTAAATTAAATCACAAGG